TACTTGTGTATAGATCTGTACGGGACTGATGATCCCACACCCTGATTGTTAGCTACAGTCAGACCGGCAGGTTATGGGTGACAAATGTCATAAACACTTCGACGCCCGAAGAATGTCGTGGCAGACAACTTCATTTTTAGCACGGTTATGAAAACTCACATGGGGAAACGACAATACGTTTATTTTACACGAAAACACATTTCTTCAAACAGTTTTATATACGAATACAACTACATATTACTATTTTAGGTATGGATTTTACTGATACATTTCGGTCTTGGAACATTTAAGACTACAACCCATTTCTATAGAAAATACTGGATTTTATGGAGCGAACACCATCATTTTACAGTAAACGGATTACAACTCATTTTATGGAAAATATCGGATTTTATGGAAACAAACACGATTACTTTATACATAAAGACTTACAATTATTCATACAAACTCTTATGAACTCACCAACTTAATTGTTGACACTTTTTCAAACAACTTGTATTCTCAGGGAATCACTAAAACAGGTAATCACCAGCTTTTGAGGATGGGACGCTAAGGCGTCAAACAAATCTTTTGTCATCATATTGTAATTGACTTTTGAAACATGTAACACTTACAATGATGTAACTTTTTCAATCATATATATGATGGTTGTGTTTGCTTTGATCATTTATATTCAATTGTTATGATATTGTTATTGAAAGTCATCCACCCCCGGACGTTTTACGCCATCCTGGTTTGGGGGTGTGACAGATTGGTATCAGAGCATTGTTTATAGTTAACTAAGTATATCGAACCACATAAGATATACAAATTATAAATACAATGGGACTAAAAGCTCTCTGACATAACATTTTCGTACAAGTATACTTTAAAATATTATGATATTTTTATAAAGGTATAAATTACATTCATACTAACTAGTTCAATCTCATAACAGTAACAAAACAAAAAGTATTAAGATAAGTTGAACACTACGAGTAGGCCTCGGGGTATGTAATCAGATATGGGATGAATATAGCCTGATTAACTATATTTATCCAGGATGTGACTAACATATGCCGATGAATGGTCATAGTGGGAAACGAATCTAAAACTTACCAACCCCATGCAAAGAAACTCTATGAACCAAACATAAGACTTAAAATACTATAAGAGTATTTTAGAATGCTACAGGGTCATACACGTAAAACCTTCTTATATTTCTCATATCTCTATTATTGCACATACGTCATGGTAGGATTTCACATGCCCGGAGACCCCTATTTCCCTAACCAGGGAAACGAGGGTGGGATCGTAGAGGATCCCGAAGAGGATCCCGAGGAGGAACATTTCGAAGAGGACCCTGATGAGGAAGAAGACGAGGAGGAGATGGAGGAGGACTCGGGCGCAGAGTTCGAGGTCATTAATCCTCCATACATCGCCCGAGTTCCCGCACACCGTTTAGGCTACCAGGGACCCACGCCCCGTTGGGTGGAGGACTTGGAGAGGTGGAGTAGACATCAACGTCAGCATTCTCCCTATGGCATTTTGCGAAACCTTACTACCTTTGTAATCTGTTGAGCAAATGGTGTAATTATATAAAGTACATAGATAATTGTTTCACGCCATTCCTTAATTATCCTGGAAAAAGGGGATAATTACATATACAAACGTTTTCATTACAAAAACACGTACTCTCGTTGAATAAATTTGTGTGACATTGTCTTCGTCATACCTAACTGAGGTATACACGAAAGTCATGTTTGATAACCGGAATCTCCCGTAAGAAAGCGTGATACTTGTGTATAGATCTATACGAGACTGATGATCCCACACCCTGACTGTTAGCTACAATCAGACCGGCAGGTTATGGGTGACAAATGTCATAAACACTTCGACGCTTGAAGAACGTCGCGACAGACAACTTCATTTTTAGGACGGTTATGAAAACTCACATGGGGAAACGACAATAAGTTTATTTTACACGAAAACACATTTCTTCAAATGGTTTTATATACGAATAAAACTACATATTACTATTTTAGGTATGGATTTTACTGATACATTTCGGTCTTATAACATTTAAGACTACAACCCATTTATATAGAAAATACTGGATTTTCTGGAGCGAACACCATCATTTTACAGTAAACGACTTACAACTCTTTTTATGGAAAATATCGGATTTTCTGGAAACAAACACGATTACTTTATATGGAAAGGCTTACAATTATTCATACAAACTCTTATGAACTCACCAACTTAATTGTTGACACTTTTTCAAACAACTTGTATTCTCAGGGAATCACTAAAAACAGGTAATCACCAGCTTTTGAGGATGGGGAGCTAAGGCGTCAAACAAATCTTTTGTCATCATATTGTAATTGACTTTTGAAACATGTAACACTTACAATGATGTAACTTTTTCATATATATATATATATATATATATATATATATATATGATGGTTGTGTTTGCTTTGATCATTTATATTCAATTGTTATGATACAAAAATGAAAGTCATCCACCCCCGGACGTTTCCGCCATCCTGGTTTGGGGGTGTGACATATACTCATGTCATTTTGTTGAATGGCACGGATATCGTATTCTAACTGATACTGTTTAGAAAATTTGGAATGAGTATATAGTCTCTCCAAGTGATTCCAAACTTCCTTTGTTGTGTCATATTTAGCCAACTGCATACCAATAGACTGTGTAACAGAATTGTTAATCCAAGTAATGACCTTGGAGTTATCAGTCTCCCAAGCATCAACCAACAAATCAAAATTCTCGGCTTGAGGCACTGAAGGTTTGGATTTAGTCCCAGTGACATAGCCCGACATATTCTTCCCACAAAGGAAGTTCTTCATAACATAACTCCAATACGTATAATTCTTTCCATCTAGTCGAGTACTGATTAATTGAAGGGAATCATCCTTTCCAGTCATGTTGGCAATGGATAAATAACCACAACAATAGATAAGTAATCAGAGAATGAGAAGAGCAACAAAACAGTGGAAGCAACCAATCTAACAGCAAGAGATCGAACAACAACAACAAACTAACAAAAACAACAAACGAATACTAACATGAAAACGAACATCAACTACAAAGGAGCATCAATCAGATTGGAAACGAAACGGTCACAATAATATTGCCATATGATGACTGCTACAAAACCTTCTAACAACGTATCAAACCTCCGCTCTGATACCATGATAATATTACCATATGATTATTGAAAGAGAGGAATTACAAGGTTCTCAATGAAAAACATAAATGATACAAAGAAGAAATAGGAGAATAAATACTAGCTAAGACAAAACCCTAATAGGCTAAAGCCTAAATAGCCCATAAACATGTGGGATAATAACATATAGGCTAACATCACTTTTGCTTATGTTGCTTCTTCGCTGCTCTGTTGCTCTTGGTGGAGTTTTGTTTGGTCTCTTTGCTTCTATGCTTTTGGACTTGATTCTCCTTCTTGGCTCTTGGTGTTTCTTTGTTTGTGGACTGGTGTGGTGGTTTGTTATTGCTCGATAGTGGTGGTCTCCCTGGTGCGTTTGTTGTTTTGTTGGAGCTGTGTGTTGTTCTTTGTTGTTGGTTCCTGTTGTGCTTGTTGTTATTTTTGTTCTTCTCTTTTGCTGGTCATTTTGTTAGTTTAGATGTTGTTTTTGTTTTGTTCTTTTGTAGTTCCTGTTTTTTCTCTTTGGTTGTTTGCATTGTACTCTTTTCGGTCTCTGGCTAGCTTGTTCTTTTTTCTAATATGTTGGTTTGGTTGTTCAAAAAAAAAATAACTAAAAGTTTCAGTAAATAAGAAAATGGATAACGCAACACAAGCACAACATCTATTACAATCTAATGATGAAATGTATAGGATAGATTACCAATATTTTGTGGAAAAATTTATATTTCTTTGTATTACTTTCTAGTCCTTTTAATTGTTGCATCTTTTTTATAATTTACAGCTAATGTGGTGAATGGTGATGTGGTAGTATGTTTAATTCTTAGCTCTATGGATGGTTCAGACTTATTTTTTTTGTTGAATGGTTTGGATAATGCAGACTGATTTAGGGGTTTAAGGGTTTAAATTATATGAATCAAACGTTCTTCATAATTGAACAATTTAGATGATACCTCTTAATTGAATTATTATGTGGATTAAATTACACGAATCAAACATTCTTACTAACTGAACCTTTTAGATGATGCCTCTTAATTGAAATATTATGAGGCTATCAAAACAAGACCAAAGTTAACAATTGATACAAAATAAGTTGTTGTCATGTATATGAGAGTGGTGGACCTACATTATCTGCCTACATAAGAAATATATTGTTAAACATAAAATCAGGATAATTATGATATATTGCTATTGTGCCCCTAAACAGAATCACATTCAAGGTTAAGATATTAAATAAATAGAGTTGGCTTCTCTATTTATTAAAACCTCATTCCCTTAAGATAAGATATATTCCTGTTCCTCCCCTCCTATATGATATCCATAATTTTTGAAACGCATTTGCAAATACTTGCAATATATTCACGAGGGCTAAGCTCGAACTGTATCGAGCGTCTCTTATATCCTAAATCAACCTAATTAAAAGCCAGTAATTGAGCACACTATTAAAAAGGATGATAATAAAATCAATGTCACAAAGTCATCTTTAGTTATGTTACAAGACATTGATTGGAAGAATAGACTAAATATCTAGAATATGTTTATATTTTAAAGAATAAACTAAAACAAATTAAAAATATCTCATATTTCATTATCCGTCGACTATTTATCTTATTGTTTATAACATATTTATTCAAATTATATTAAGTCGTAATAATTATCGTACGATTTAAATAAAATAAACATACTATGATTATGATATGCTAAAATATACAGTTTCAAATAATATATTTATCAATCTATTTAACAAGTTCTGAACACTTAAAGATATATTTACATCCTAAACAAAAAGGTAACAAAGTTACAAAAATTAAATAGGCCATAAGGCAAAGAAGGATTTTATTGGGCTTGATCCGACCCGTTAGCCGACGGTTTGCTCCCTTGACTCCGGATCCGGGCTGCCCACGACATCCCCGTCGCCGGATCCACTCTGCTCGGACTCACCCTGCTCCGCCGCCTCAGCTCCGATATCTGCACCTTCCACGTCTCCTTCCACCGGCTTTTATCATCGGATCTCGATTCAAATCGGGTTCCACTCTTACCTGAAAAGGCCAGGTGTAAGCCCTTCGCCATACAACTATCATACATGGATCTAGCTTCCGGATCGGATAAGGTCTCGTAAGCTTCCTGTACCCTTATAAACCTTACAGTGTACTCCTCCGTCCTTTCCGGCGGCGATACGTCCGGATGGTACTTTAACGCCATTTTCTTGTACGCTTGTTTGATCTCTGAGAGTGTCCCGCTCTCCGATATACCAAGTAGATCATATAATGTCTCCTTCACCTGTGTCGGTATGCAATAGCCGTTTGCAGCGGCGGAGGCGGAGACTTTGGTGGTTATATGCGGTGTTCGAATCGATGTATGAGATATTTTGACATGGGTATTGTTGAATTTGAAAGAAATATGAGGTGGGAGTGATGAAATCAGTGGCTTACTGGATGAAACTGGGAGCGACTGGATCCCGGAAGGAAAAGATTTGGAGTTCATAACTTTGGATTGTTTAAGTGGTGGTGTTGATGGCTGTGGGGCGGGTGTTTATAGTGGGGATAAGAGCGCAACGAAAATGGATGAATATTTAAATAGGCTAACAACTAAATTCTGACTTGAAGACGATTTTAACCCTCAACCTCAAAAGAGGAAGAACATCACCTCTCGACCTCAAAAAGAAAGAACATCACCTGATACCGTTGGGCTAGAAGTCAATTTGATGGAGGAGGATGTATATATGATTACATGTTTGTATTTTTGCAAAAAATTCTTTTTGAACATTTATGTTTGGGAATACTTTTACGTTTGTGGAGTTTTAAAGTGTGTTTGTTGTGTAGAAGATGGCAGACGTCTCTAGACGTCAAAATGTCTAAAAAACAATTTTTGCAGACCCCTTCTAGATAAAATATATATATATATATATATATAAAATATAAATATTTAAATCAAATGCATCATATTATCTCATTATTCTCTTATAATAAAAAAAATTAAAAAATAAACAAAATATATGATGACTTGAGGTCTGAATCGCATGGTTGCCACCATAGTCCACCTAAGGTCAAGCAATGTTAGGTTTGAACTTTGAAGTTGCTTGTAATTGTCAAATAAGTATTGTTATGACTCCGTCACATCAATAAGTTACTTGTGCATTAAGATCAAAATAACAATATGTCCGTTGATGATAATGAAAACAAGGTTCCAACACATGGTGTTACAATAGACCGTGAATATATGATTCAATTATGAGATGAAATTGTTGGACAGTTAATGTAAAATATGGAATGAATTATTTTAAATATAATTGTTATTGTAAGACTAAAATTGTTATTGTTAGACTAGAATTATTGTGATTGTTATTTTATTTCAATGTTGTAAAGACCAAATTTATTCAAAATTTTGGTGTTGAAAATATATTTTATGTTTGCAAAATCAGTTTATTTAAATTTCAGCAGCTTGCATACGTTAAAAAACAAACGATATTTTTCTTGCAGACTGCAAACGTTTGGTTTACCTCTTCTTCTGCAGAGGTTTGCAGATGTGGTCTGTAGACTGCAGATGTTTTGGCTCGAAAAACAAACATCACCAAATATAATTTCGATTTAAAATATAATGTTTGGTTTGGAAAAAAGAAAAATATAAAAAATAAAAGAAAAAACACAAAATTTCACAAATTGTTCTTATGGTTTTGATTTTATCCCTAAAATTGTCCTTATTTTTTTTTTTTTGCATGAATGGTCATTTGGAACAAACCTTGCACACCAACGGTCCTTATGACAAACGTCGTGAGTTTTTCTGTCAAATATAAATAAAAAGACTATATTGTCTTTCTTTTATTTCATTATTAACCGATGGGTCCCTCTCTCTCTCTCTCTCTCTCTCTCTCTCTCTTTCTCATCACTTCCAATCATCCATCTTTCCTCCCATCGTCGGCTAAGAAAGTGTCTAGTAGCTCCAATGTTTGTCTCCACCGGTGAACCAGAAAACCACCATACCCTTCTTATTCCCTCCGGTGAACCAGAAAACCACCATCCATCTTATGGAGTATGGACTACTCCAGACCATTTCAATTGTCCTTTTGAGCATTTAGGAGTGCATTGAGCCATAAAAATCGAATCTTGAAAGTTCAAGTTCAGCCATGTTTGATTTGTTGGCCTTTTTATGGAGTTTTGGACCTAAGGTTTAGTGTTGGGTCCCATTAAGACATGCAAGTGAGTAAAGTCGCCAACGTTATGGAATAATACCTTATTTAGATGTAGATATGAGGTTTGGACGTTAAGATATTAAAGTATTAAGACATTGGAAGAGGATTTGGGGCACTGACCAGTACGCCGAGCGTACTCCTGAGTACGTTGTGCGTACTTGGTTTGAAGCCCGATGGCGGTCACTCGAGTACGCGGGGTGTACTGCCTATTGTGGGCCTAGGTTGCTTTTTGGCCTTGATTGTATGGGTTTAACTTTAAGGGGTAAAATAGTCTTTTACCCTAACAATCGGGATTATGGATTTGGACTTTCGGTTATGGTTTATGACCTAATTATTAATTAGGGTAGTATTTGATCATATTTAGTTCGGGTATTTCCCGGATCAGCAGTCTGAGCATTTATCTGATTTTTAGTAGTTTGAGGTGCGTCTCCTCCCAGTGTTTGGCGGGTCGAAGGCATCAATGCCGGCCCATGGATTATTGTTATTTGTATGCTAGTTGTTTGTGTGACTCTTACATGTGTTGTATGTATATCGGGCGGGGCCTAATGAGTGTGTTGGGTGGGGCCCATCACATGTTACTAATAGATCTGTTCCAGGTGGTGCTCGATGTCGGGCAGGGCCCGACGGTTGTCGGGCAAGGCCCATTGTATGTATGGTATAGGGGTATTTTGGGGAACTCACTAAGCCTTGTGCTTTCGGTTTTCAATTTATGTTTCAGGTACTTCTGGTTCGAAGGGGACGAGCTCGGGATGATCGCATTGCGCATACCATGATTTTCCACTTTATTTACTCTGATGTACTTTGGATGATTATGGATACACTATGATTTCCTTATGGTTTGATTAACACGTTTGGTTGATGTTTTATTTAATATAAAAACAAATTTTTTGGTTCTGGGTTTTGGGACGTTACAAGTTGGTATCAGAGCCTTGGTTTGAGGGATTCAGACATACTCTCGGGTGTGTCTGAACTCAAATTGAGGGTCTGATAGATTTTTCATAAAAATAAATGTTTAAGTTAAAGGATTTTCTGGGGTTGCGGTGCATGTAATCGACCGATCTCAAGTAAGTTTTCCCAAAATACCCTTACATGTTCTTGTGATATGCTTTAAATTGTGAATCTGTGAACCACATGCTAGATTAGGGCTAAGGATCTGCTCATGCTTGCATGATAGAATGCTAGGAGATATGCCTTTATATGCCTATTGTATGAGCTTATAGACTTGCGTGCTAGTACTGATCAGTCAGTGATAGGATGGCATGTTAGCGTTATGCCTTAAATAAAACATCATGCCTTACACTCCAGATCATAGGACAGTGGTGACTTGGGAGCAATTTTCTGAGATGTTTTCGCTCTATGTATGTTTTGTTGGTTAAGAGAGAGAGAGAGAGAGAGAGAGAGAGAGAGAGAGAGATGGAGAGAGAGAGATATAGAGAAGGTTAGGTCAGTAGTAACTGGCCCTGAAGCAGATGACTGAGACGGTGACTGAGATCACCAAGATGTTTACAAAGAGAGCATTGTTTTGTCCTGAGTATGCAGCCATGGAGCAGTCTAATATGACCTGGTACTTGAGCATGCTCAAGACAAATATTCGTCAGTTTGTATCCACTCAACGTTATGGTACTCTTCTGGAGCTTCAGGAGGCCACGCGACGACATGAGATAGATATTTAGACTCAGGTTAGGGAGCAACGACCGACTCCTGTTCAGTCTCAGCTTTTAGCTAAGTCGTTCCAACCCGCTGATTCGAAATCGGGAGGACAGAGGGGCCGCACTTGAGGTAAGTGCGGGAGAGTTCATGAAGGGATGTGTCGATCGTCGTCAGCTTGCCGCAATTATGGCAAGGAGACGCACTACGCGAAGGACTGTCGCCAGCAGGATTCGCAGCAGAGTACCAGGATTTGTTTCCATTGTGATCAGGTGGGCCATGTGAAGGCTCAATGCCCACAGATCCATGTCAGACCGATCCAGACACCTGCCCCTACTACTTTGATGATCACTGATGGACGGCATGGTAGGGCGGAGCCCATGAGGGCTCGGGGTCGTGCGTTTCAGCTTACAACAGAGGAGGCCAGGGCGGCGCCAGACGTCGTTACTGGTATGTTTCCATTTATCATTCTGTCAATTTATGTTATTTATGCTTATGATTATGATTCTGATAGGTATATTCTTGGTGGATTCTTTGCCTGCTCTTGTGATTTTGACTCAGGTGCGAGTCGGTCCTTTGTATCTCAGTCCTTCAATAGGAGCTTTGATAGGGTTCTAGGGGAGTTAGATTGTCTGTTGCGAGTTCTATCTCTAACGGACATGGGATTTCTGCGAGTAGCATCTTCAGGGATTTCACCTTGGAGATTTTCGGGGTGTCATACCCGATCGACTTGATCCCTATCCCTATGGGGGATGTCTACGTGATTGTCGGTATGGATTGGTTGAGCAGGTTTGGCGCTGTCATTGATTGTGAGGGTTGGAGGGTGATAGTTCAAACCCCAAGTGGGGGAAAACTGGTTATTTATGGAGAGGGTACCAGAGTTGGGTCGACTTTCTATTCTGCAGCTAGGTCTCGTCAGTATTTACATCATGGTTGTTTGGGTTATCTTTCATATGTGGTTGACACGAGGGAGGAGAATGGGGTTACTGTTTCAGATGTGCCTATAGTCAGGGAGTTTCCCGACGTGTTTCCGTAGGATCTACCCAGAGTACCTCATGCGAGGCAGGTTGAATTCAGGACTGATCTGGTTCCGGGTGCTGCCTCGATCGCTAAGGCGCCATATCGCCTAGCACCACCCGAGATGCAGGAGTTTTCCTCTCAGCTTCAGGAGTTGTCGGGCAAACAATTTATCAGGCCAAGGAGTTCGCCGTAGGGCGCACCGATTTTATTCGTGAATAAAAATGTGACGGCTTTTGAGCACTATAACATCCCTATGGTGCACCTACAACCCTAATTCTTTGGATCTAGTTATACATGCAATTTTCATTTTCCAAAGCATGAAGCCTAACTAGCATACAACTTTGATAATTGTAACATAAATACAAGTTAGATGATTACCTTTTTGTTGTAACTTGTAGAACTTGGCCTTACAAGAGCTTAGCACCTCAAATGTGATGCCTCAAATAAGTCACAAAACACCAAGAACAAATAGAGGATTATGAGAATGAACTTGTAGGCACCAAAATCGGCTAGCTTCTTCTTAGAATACTCTTGTCTCCGATTTTTGGGCTTAGGGGTTACATATATAGTGTAGAATTCCAAGGGTCACTTGTAAACCCTAATCCATTCACTTAGGCTTTTGATCTAA